TGTCCTGATGCAACTCGCGCACCCACCCACCCACCCACCCCCACACCCCGCCCCGCGCCGCAAACCCCTCAGCTACGTCGACGGCACCGGCCTCGCCCTCAGCCTGGAAGACGCCGCAGTGTTGGGCTGGCAGGTCAAGCAGCACGGCCTGACAGAGGCGGCGCTGCGCGCCTATGAGGCCGCGCGCATCCCGCGCGTCAAGGCCGTGTTCACGCTCGCGGCCCGCCAGGGCGCGCAGATGGCCGCGGGGGTGCCGCAGCAGCAGCTGTTCGAGGAGCGGGCCAAGCTGCTGTATGGGGGGCTCGATTTCGAGCCGCTCGGGGCCACGGAGGCGGCGGCCGCGACGCAGACACAGGCGGCAGCCCAGGCGGGCGTTTGATTGACAATGGTGTCCGAGGCTTTCTGCAGGTGGTGAAGCGATTGCTCGCCCCTGTCAGCTATTGTTGCTGTTTAGCTGGTTGCTAGCTTGCTAGAGGGAGCCCGGCCTGCACTTGGCCAGGGGCCACATTTGTACCACTTGCTTGCTGAACCATATCCGCTGTCAAGCCGGCTGCCCAGCCGCCTGGTCGGGCGGGCGGCCCCAAAAGAAGTAGGCAAGGTGCAGCGTCACCCTTGAATTTGCGGTTTGTCGGCGTTTGGCTGCTGCACACCCCGATTGTGTGCACCTGCCCAGCCGCCTGGACACTCGGTTGTTGGCGTGAGGCGAGCGTGCCGCTGGGTGCGGCGATCACCTCCGCTTGAGCATAAGCGCGACGGCTGCTGCCGCGGTAAGACTGCGCTTTTGAATCAACTGCGTCTTTGCCACCAGTGGTTGTGCAGATATTTATAGGTATCTGTGGACTGAGTTGCTGGTGAGATCAAGTCAAGCGTCTAGGGTGTAATCTGCACATCCCTTGATCCTGACTTTTGAGTTTAGCAGCAGACTGCACGTCGAGGCTGCGGAAGCGCGACCCCGCCACAAAGGCATGGTGCCATCAATTGATTGCCGGGTGCAGCAAAAGAGCCCAGCTTTTGGGTATGAAGCAGCAGAGGTAGCAACAGGTGAAGTGCATCAGACGAGCACAAGCTGGTCAACGCATTCTTGTCTCTGTCATCACAAACACGCAACACAATGAGCAGCACATCAACAGAAGGCAGGTGCCAGCGAGCCTAAGACATGACTCATGGTTGACAAGCTTGAGACACTTCTCGTGGCGCACATTTTCAGCGCCTGCTTTGAGTGCAGCAGGGCACAGGTTTGGCCCAAGATGATTGTGTCATGACCACAAACCCTCCGCGGCACGCCACTGGTCGCGGCAGCAGCGCGGCAGCTGCACCGCTCATTTCGTGCCCTTGGCTGCCTTGAGCAGCAGGGTTTGATGATGGAAACAGCAACGCTCGACCCATGGAAAACGCAGTAACTGAGTGACTGTGTGCAGTTGGGGCGCGTGCACCCAAGCATGAATGGGGCGGGGTTGTCCTGCCCCCGCCGGTCACGAGACGCCGCACACCGACCCCACCGCCCCGACAAGCTCCGGGCGCCGCGCGACGCGCGCGAGCGCGGCGCCCGCCACGTAAACGCTCGCGGCCGTCCCCAGCACGCACATGGCAGCGAGCAGCAGGACCAGCAGGCCGGGGCGGCCGGTGCGCCGCACCGCGGCGTCGATGGCGACCTGGCCGAGGAGGGTCGCCACAAAGCAGGTGGCCGCGAGGGCGATGCCATAGTCCCATCGAATGATACCCTGGGATTGCGATTTGGAACCAGGCGGCGCGGGGAGGGCAAGGGCTGCGTGGAGCGAGCGGTGGGGCCGCGGCCGTGGCTACTGTAGAGCTCAAGGCGGCTCCGTGGGGCAGCTAAGGGTGGAAATGCTTGCAGGTCAAACCGCAGTCAAACCTCTGGCGGCGGTGTTGTCTCGGCCGCTGCAGCAGCAGCAGGGCGCAGGCCGCGCGGCGGGGTGTTTTGGGGGGGGGGAGCCTCACCTGGGAGGCGTATATGATGGCGGCGGCGGCGCTGCTCAGCATCAGCGTCACCTGGCTGGACGCCACTGTGACCTGCGGGTGCACCCGCAGCTCCAGCATCAGCGGCGTGAGCACGATGCCGCCCCCGAGGCCGAGCAGGCCGGCCAGCAGCCCGGCCGCAACGCAGAACGCCGGCAGCGCGAGCGAGTTGGCGGGCGTCCACGCCAGGCGGCCGGCGGTGAGCGGCGAGAGCCACGGCGGCGAGTGCTCGGGCGGCACCGGCGGCTGCTTGCGGCACGCCTCCGGGTCCTCTGCGGGGGCGCCGCTGGCTGCCGCCGCCGCGGCAACAGCGCGGGCGACGACGGCGGCTTTCCAGAGGACGTGGCGCCGCGCCAAGAGCAGCGCCGCCGCGAGCGGCGGCACGACCGCCGCCGACACGGCCCAGTAGCCGGCCGAGCCGCACGGCAGCGCCAGCGCCGTCGCGAGGCGCGTGGCGACGAGGGACGCCATGCACAGGAGCAGCGCGGCGGCCTGCAGCGGCGGG